TCCTTTCTTCAGTTCAATGAACGCCTGCGACCGCTTTAAGATCGAGAATGTTCAGAGGGTTTTCACCCGGAAACTGTTCTCTCAAGTTTCGTCCGGTAATTCTTATACTCAGAGATGTCAGCCGGCGAACATAAAGTTTTTGTGGGTTAGAAGACTCGAAGCTGGCCTTTGCTTCCTTCTTTGCATCAACTCTAGTTCCAATCTCCCGCCCATTGACACTCTCACTCCGAGAGATCGGTCTTATGCCACGCGCAACTCCCCCATGGTTATTCCGCCGCCGCCTCTTTGTACTACATCTAAGTGCTCCCTCTTCTTTGCTTCCAAATATGCCGTCTTTTGGAATAATCTTTGGAATAACCATTCGCGCCGTGCGACAAATCTCCTGCTGGACAGCACAGCGTCCCGATACATTCTCAGTCGATATTTACAAGTACGGCAGCCGCAGACTGATGGACCAAATCATTACGTTATTTCAGGTAATGTAACGCTGGGGGTCGAGTTCCTCAGGACATCAAGGACGCAACCATTGTTCACCTCTATAAACGCAAAGGGGAACCGACAAATCTGCGACAATCATAGGCGCATCCCGTTACTCATAATCGCTGGAAAGTTCTGTGTTCGCATCCTCCTCAGCCGCCACAAAGGATACCTCGAGCAAGGAGTTTTGCCGCAAAGCCAATATGGCCTAGGACGATGTCGGACATGGTGTTTGCCATTTGCTAACTTAATGAAAAGTGTCAGAAGATGCGAATTCACCTCTAAACCATCTTCTAGGACTCCATAAAGGCCTTCGATACGGTGAATTGCGAGTGAGTGTGGAAAATCATGCAGAAATTCGGTTGTCCTGAAAGACTCACTTTCACGGTACGTCAGGTCCACAACGGTACAATAGCATGCATCACGAACAACGGTGCAATCTCAAACGCATTTACAGTGACAAATGGAGTGAAGCAGGTTTGCGTGCTTGCGTCTAAACTCTACAGTCTCGTGTTCTCTGATATGCTGTTGGCGCCCCGGGATACGCATCGCCTATAAAAGTGACGGACATCTACTCAACAACAGACGCATATAGGCCTGAACTAGACTATATGCGACCATCGTCCACGATCTGCACATCGCCGACGACTGCGTGCTCAACACGACGACCGAATCGGACATGCTACGTAGTATTGACCTCCTCGCGCTTGGGGCGCCAACTCCAGCCTGACTATCAACATGGACAAAACGATGGTAATGCACCAACCGTCATCCAACAAGCAACGCTGCTCTTCTCCTCGAATCACTGTCGATGGCAACCAAATCAAAACCGTGGACAATTTTTTCCCACAGTATCAGAATCGACGATGAGATTGCCATCGGATCTCAAAAGCCGTCAACCCTTCGGCCAACTGCAGAATTCATTGCGAATCGTCACGGCCTCCAATAGAATACCAGACTGAATATCTGCAGGACGGTCATCCTGAGGACACTTCTCTGCGGAGCATGGCCTTGTACTGTCTACTCCGAATATTCCAAGAAGCCTAACCACTTTCATTTCAATTGCCTTCGCAGAATACTAAGGCTGAGTTAACAAGACTGTATCCCTGATACGAGAACCCTAAAGCGGGGCGGCATCCTTATCATTTACACTATGTTCAGGCAACTGCAGCTACATTGGGCCAGCCATCACGTGAGGATAGAAGAAACGACGACCGAAAAAACTCTTCTATAGTAATGTCGCCGCCAGTGCTTGCCGACCGAGAGTGCCAACACGATGCTATATAGGACACTGAGTACAATAAACGTATCCTCAGATCTCATTAAGAAACACATAGGTCGTTTGAAATACTCACACTGCTCAGGAATGCACGGGATTCAGAATTCGATTATTAAACAAGCGTCCGACCTTCCCATATTGCTTAGTCCGTTATTCTCTGTTTATATTTCAAAAGGATTCTTTCCCGAAACACGGAAAACGTCAATTATCATTCCCGTCTTCAAGTCTGGGTCTCAGACCAATGTTAATAACTATCGGGGAGTGAAAAAAAACGCCGTCTACATCAAAACTTCTTGAAAGGATTATTTTCAATGAAATTCTTGACTTTTGTCTAGCTAATCGGTTTCTGAGCTATAGTCAGCATGGAGTTTTACCCAAAAGAACCTGCGAAACTTGTCCCTCGACATTTCTTGATCTAATCACTTCTCTTCGTAATGAACAGCAGTCAGTGGTAGTTATCTACTTTGATCTTAGCAAAGCCTTTGACAAGGGGCCCCATAGACGTCTTTTAGTAAAATTGGAAGCTCTCGGCATCCGACCGCTTCAACTCGACTTCATCATGTCCTATCTGCCCAACCGATATCAGAAAGTCATGGGTGGTAATAGCTACTCGACACCCCACTCGATCACGTGTAGCGTCCTTCAAGGCACGGTTCTGGGTCCGCTACTCTTCCTTCTTTACATCAATGATATTTCGACTGCACTCGGAAATTCGCATATTTTTACTTACGCCGATGACCTCAAGTGTGTTTACTCATACTCCAAGCACAACGCAAACGTTTATGTTGAAAAACTTAAAGCCGATTCACTACGCTTAAGCCGATGGGGTTCGACATGGCAGATGGAGTTTTCATCATCCAAGTGCAGTTTTATGTCTTTTGGTCCTGCCATACTTCCTGGTCCCACAATTTTTCAGAATAACATACTCTCAGAATGCCTCACCATAAAGGATCTAGGTCTAAGTTATACAAATAAGCTTGCTTTATCACCTCATGCAGATGGAATCTCTGCCAAAGCCGCGCAGATATGTGGATTCATATCACATAATTTTTTCCTTCTGGAAATGATGCTAAAACTTAAGCAAATGGTTGTTCTTCCAGTCCTTGAATACTGCTGTCCTTTCTTCAGTTCAATGAACGCCTGCGACCGCTTTAAGATCGAGAATGTTCAGAGGGTTTTCACCCGGAAACTGTTCGCTCAAGTTTCGTCCGGTAATTCTTATACTCAGAGATGTCAGCTGGCGAACATTAAGTTTTTGTGGGTTGGAAGACTCGAAGCTGGCCATTGCTTCCTTTTTCGCATCAACTCTAGTTCCAATCTCCCGCCCATTGACACTCTCACTCCGAGAGATCGGTCTTATGCCACGCGCAACTCCCCCATGTTTATTCCGCCGCCGCCTCTTTGTACTACATCTAAGTGCTCCCTCTTCTTTGCTTCCAAATATGCCGTCTTTTGGAATAATCTTCCGCCAGAAATTAGATTAGCGCCTAAGTTACTAGTATGTATGTATGTATGTATTCAAGTCGAACTTACGTAAACACCTTACACCGGAAATCATAAGGGCACTTTTATAGATCTCATTCCCTACGCTCAGCTTCTTGACTTCGAGAAGTGTCCTCCTGGGATTTAGTGGTAGATTAAGTGGTAACTCTTAATTATATCATTAGAAACGCCTGTTTTGAATTGGTTTCTAAATCCACTGCTATCACTCCCCCCCCCCATAGTGACAATTTTCGCGGCTTTTGATGTCATCTCCCGCATTCCGACCTCATGTGGTCTGTCGACGCTCACGGCGGAACCCTCACTATTCGCCATCTACTAGTAGTTTGGTCGTACCTCCCTTCCCCACTGCTCGGCTGAGCTCGAAGCTTGCTGTGGCCGATCGCATCTGGGTTCCTTTCGTCTGGCCTACCCTTTGTATCCATGAATGTAAGCATGTAGGTATATCTGTTTTTGCTAAAACGAGTAGCCGTCTATAGTTTGCTAGTTCTAGAGAAACTGATCGAGAAAAGTTGCCGATATTGGAAAATTATTTGGACCACTGTTATTACATGTCAGTGTCTAAAATTTAAATGCCGAAGAACACGGCATTGATCTAATATCGACTTTTAAGTTAATCAGAAAAAAGGCCAACTAGGGAATGAAGAAAAGGTGAAAATCTAACGATTGCTAGTCGCCATGCGCTTGTGCATGCGGCAGGTCGGTTACACAAATATAGTCCGAATTAAAATGTTTTAGAACACCTGCAGCTACCTTATCTGAGACTAATCGATCGAATGAATTATTTGTAGTTGTAAACTTAGGAGGATAATCGATATCTTGTTCCTAGCTAAATTCTAACTTACTCAAGACAGCTGGCATTAGCGGTCGGGAATGTGAGTTTGTTTACTTTCTCATTAACTTGCTTGATTGGATCATTGTGCTGCTGCATTTCCTTAGTCAGTCGTATAACTTCGGCTTCATCTGCATGATAAACATCTACTATGCTGTCCTCTGGAATCAGAGCTGACTCTTAAATCTAATAACTCCAGTGCCCCATTATTCTAAGCTGTTCATATGCAGTAATGCTAGCAATTATATTTGTTTCCGGTCGATCGCGGTTGCCGTAAGTCTTGTCCATCAGCACGAAAACCACCGCGTCAGCAATTTTTACGCTTTACGGAAATCTTAAGGCTAAGCGCAATGAACTTGGCGTGGTAGAAGGGCGCTCATAGATCTCATTAGGGAACTCACTAGTCCTATGTGCCTTGGGGCTGTCTCTCAAGCCCTATTAGCAGCCGCACCGCAGCGCGTGTTATAGACAAAATTTCATCCCCGACAAAGACAAGGGAGACCGAAATCGCCATTTCTGGCTTACTATCCGTCGTCATGTAGTCATAGCCAACCCCGATTTGTGCAAAACCTGGGGGTTCGGTGGAGGTATCGCAAAAATATGGTCAATTCAACCGTTGGCAATTTAAGACATGCAAATATTCGACATCATGCAACAACCACTTTATTCTAGATGGAGATCTTTTGCCATAAAATGCCGCATATTTTATACAAATTCTGTAGTGTTGCTTCCGGACATTGCCCTGTAGATCGGTTTGTGCACGTTTTTCATCTACTGATTCGCGAAGCTTATATTTAAGTTCTGAATATAAACCTACTTTATAGGTCGTTTACACTGTTATCAGTATACAGTTTTTATGGAGACATCTGCTTTTATAGCGCAAACTGTCTTTGTTTTTTCGTTTCGAATACAATGTACAGTTGGTCCTTTGGTTGTAGTCTTCGCACCTTCGACTTGAATTGGTATGTCAAATTGTATCCAATAAATCGTGATAATATCCTTTAGACACGCGTTATTAACAGTTCTTTCTCTGTTTGTCCAATTTTGAAGTTTTGTGTAAAGTTCGGCTGCCTTTCAGCATGTTACAGTTGTCTTCCGGCCTTTACTCTGTTGAGTACTTGGGCTTAAACACAACCCAGGGCGAGGTATACCTTGCCCGATATATTTTGGATACATCTGTTACCCTTAATATTAATTCACTTTCGTTTAAGTTGAACTGCGAATTCGTATTGTCGCTTGTACTATATGACAGACAAATGCATTTGTCTGTCATATATATATGCCCTAGTAGCATTAAATAGCTACCTGATGCACTGTTATAGCGGAAATCTCGCGATAGGGCTATCTCGTCACCTGATTGGTCAGCGGGTTTATCGATTTATCGCAGTCATTGGTTGGCGCGCTTGAGCTATCGGTGCTCCCACGCCGCATGCGCGTCGCCATTATTGCTTGCGTATCGCGTGCGGCGTGTGCTATCAACTGCTCTCTGCTGCAATCTCTTATACCCTTTTTTGCTTCATTAACCCATCCTTTTTATTGTTCACCGTCACCTCGCTGTGGAATTGCTACTAGGGTGACAGACAAGTACAAGCGACAATGCATATTCGCAGTTCAACTTAAACGAAAGTTAATTAATACTAAGGGTAACCGATGCATGCAACTCTTATGCTGGCTATATGTAGCCATCATCCATCACCATTGGTTGTTAACATATTCTGAACCCCCTGGCGAAGGTTGTAATACCCAGCTTGTCCTCGTCCTGTTGGGGCTTCAGATCGCCGGTGCCTTCGTAGTCCTTCGCTGGACGACCAACTGAGAAGGGCTCGTCAATGGATTGATTCCGTATCCCAGACGACATGATAACAAGTAATCCAGCAACAATCGTCAGCAGGAGTGATACAAGGAACCGTTTATTGTAATCGAATAATTGTAACACGGAGAAAGGGAGTTACAGGGGTGTGGCAGACTCCTTGATTGCTTTAGTCAATGGATGTCTCTCTGACAGAATAATTCGGTGCAGTATCTGGCTGCACAAGGGGGAGTGTAGAGCTGGAGGCTGCTACAGGGGTTGGGATCCGGTTCTCGCCAGTCGATTCTGAGACTTAGAAGAAAAACAGGGACCTTCGTAAAACAACAAAAGGACGGATCAGTTCAATTCTGTCATACCACAGGTTATTAATCTTGCTGTCCAATCCGGAGGTCCACTTGCGTCACGTTTACCAATGTTGTTTGCGTAAACTCTTCGTCAGGCCAGAACGAGATGACTTCTCAGGGGAATCTTCTCCGGCAAGGCGAGCCTGGGAAAATTTGTGTAACCCTGTTCTAAGAGGTCTTTACTTTTGTGGGCGTCCTGGTCTGATCCATTTTGCATGTTTACCGCCTCACAAATGATTATTTTTCGTCTCCCTCAATCAGCCTTAGGCACCAGCCCGAATGCATTCGGGAAAAGGATTAAAGACAGTAACAGAAAAACCTGCGACAGTGACTGGAACATTGGTACTGTCCATACTCTACTTCTTCTCGGGTCGTACCCCGAGCCGTAGCTTGGGTCCCACAATAGCACGGTCAAGGCGTTTTACGCTGCTGGTTTTGACACAACTCATCCTGTAGAAGTCTATCACTAAACTGACCCAGTCTGCTCTGCAGAGTATGCGGTCGGCTGGTCTTCATCGGCAGTCATAACTTGAGTATCATATTACTAAATTTGGCCTAGTTCACCCTTGGTGTGGAGCACGACCAATCGGATGAAAATAACGAAACTGTCTTGCGTCATTCCCACTGCTAAGTGACCTACTTATCGCCCCGTAATTGCATTTTATCCCCTCTGTCCTACATTACCATCCTCCCAATTGCCGGGATCATACATGGGGATACGCCTGACTACGACCTTAGGGTGATCGTAAAAAGCTTCTTTATGCACGTTATCAGCTTTCATTTTGGTTTGCATCAAAACAATGTTGGCGTTGATAGCAGCGCCACGAAGACCTTCGGTTACTCTCCTCATTGACAGCGGTTCCAAACGTTTAAGTGAAATTTTGATCAGACTGTATTATCTATTTTTTGTCTTTGTGACTGCCTACCGAATCTCTACGGGAGATTCACGGCGAGCCAGAGTGCTACAATTCCATCATGCAATTAGAATATTCACTGAAACCGAATATTTCGCAACACAAATGCTCCCTGTCACAGCCGAAAATACATGAACCCGTAACTCAGTGACAATCGGCGATGGCATTCAGTCTCGGGGCTAATGATGACAGGTAAGCCACAAATGGCCGTCTCCGTCTGCCTTGTCGTATACTGATCGCTGCATTAGCTACGAATGGTAACTTGCCCTACTTCCAACCTCTTCAGCCTGAGGGTGATTCCCACAACCTGGAAGATTCGCTGACCGGCGGTGGCCCCCCTCAGTTTGTAAGGGTTGTTATGAACACAACCGCCTGTGGAGATTTCCACATTTTGACGAGGCGTTAATTAGTACTGCTCAGAGGCCGGTGGATATTGCGGTTCTCTGGGTTTGTGTGAACCATGACTGCGTAAAGAACGGAGGGTCTTCAATGCTTATAGTTAAAAATGCTCCTTCAACCAACTACCTGCGCCTACTTCAGGGAAGGTCAGAAAATCCCGCTCCTCAAGACACCTGTCTCGTGCTAATGAAATACACGACGCAGAACTCGAGATACTCACGTTTTGCATAAATCGCAATGCAGAAAACACTGCACCCGATAAACTCATCGGTTGATAACTTTGATAATCCTTTGAAAACTTTATTTTGTTGGAAACGTTGGCTATTTTCAAATCTACCATGTTTTACCATGTTTACTTTACATCTGTCCGAACATAACAGCAGTTTAACATTATTTTTATCACCTAAACTAGCACTTTCAGTTGCGTCGAAATGGTTCATTATTAAAAGCATGGTCGGAACGTGGGCAATGAGATAAAATCACCACTAAGATTTATATGCTTAGGCATCAGTCGCTTAGCAGCAGAGTTTGCTTATTACGGAGGCTGCTTTCAACACTGGTATTGGTTGGAACTCAAACGCGTGCTAGATCGAATTCCAGCCACCGTACCGTAACTTCTAAACAGTCGGCACTCCAGCGCAGACGTGATCGCCACACGGTTATTCCTTAATTTATTTTATCCTTCATCCATTTTCAGGATAATTTATAGGCTGGCTATGGAATTTCGTCTCAAGGCATTCGTTTCAAGTCCTTCCAATAGATTCCTGTGAAATGACTTTCTGCATTAATTGTTATATTTTAGCGTTGACGTTTAATTCGTTTTCACTTTTCCAGCATTTGTAACTTTCAACCGGACAAATTGCATTCGTCAGCAGAAGGGCATGGATTCTGATTTCGGAATTACAGTTCCCGAAATTGATGAGTCCGGCTGCCTCTCCAGGGACGAGATGGTGATCCTAGGTCACTTTAAAATGAAAATGCGAGCTGATCTTGACCAAAAAGAAGACCCCACTGACGGATGGTCAGTTCGCACATGCCTTTTAGCCAAAAAGTTGTGCGAGCGCATTGAAGAAGGGCAACAACGAATAGATGCCCTGCGGCATCGTCTACAGGATCAGAGAAAGCAGCTTGAGGCACTGAAGGCGTCATCACTTTGTCTCAAAGCCAAACGGGTAAGCCGTCTTTTCCCTTTCAAGACTCTACTCTTCAAGACGGCGCCTAAACTCCATTGTCTGGGCTATCTGAACTTTCTCAGACAGAAGTCGAGAACGACGTCCTGACCGCTTATAAACATGCGTCACACTACCATATCGCATAGGACGATTTTGTCCAACCAAAATTTCGTCTGGCAGACCGTATAGACTGAGTTCTCGGTCAGACGAGTTGGAAGGTAGACATTAAAGGTTGCGTTCGCATGTAGATGAGATTTTGGCCGTTCTTACGACTAAGAAGTAAAGCACTCATCAGCGGAACGTCGACGAATCTACCCGACTCTCATTGCCGATGATGAGAGTGTTGCTCTCCCCTCTATCCTTCCTCCCCGCCCACCCTCTCCCATCTTTTGCTCCTTTGTGTACGCTACTTTTTCCCCGAAGTAATGTGCAGGTTAGGCCACAATCTGGTCAATAGGGGTTTAAGGCCCAGCTCACAGGTCACTGCAAGAAACCAAAATACCCTTCTCTGCCCGTGGTTGAGTCCACGTCCTTCTCGGAGACCGTCGTTCTCAACTTCTGTGAGAACGAGGTCAGTACAACTCTTGATGACTGAAGCGTTTCCTCTCATAACGTCTAGGCGTGTCCCCTGAAATGGCCTCTACCCCCTGGGGCATGGTGATATTCATAAGGAGATGTACCAATGGGTTTTTGTCAGATGAGATTACCTTTGACCTAAAATTTTCGATGTCTCTGAGCAACAGATTTGCACTAAAGTGATTTTCATGAAAATATTTCATTTAGCTCAATAGTTGCGTAATCCATCCCAAAGACATCTGATTGTAGTACTAATCGGGTGGAAGAACGACATGTGTGTTGTCTAAAAGAACATCAGAGAGTCGTGAGACGTCTTATCGTTTCTAAATCAGCGGTGCCTCACCGTCTGTGCAAATTAGTCCCCTCCTGTATGATGGGGAACACGATAATGGCTGCACGTAACGATAAGCTGGCCGCCATTGTGTTGAGCCAGTAGCCGCCCTCGGTCCGCGAAATTTAGTTTTGGTTTTACAACCGCTTCAGTGGGCACAACTGGTATGCATCCTCTGCTTTACAACCGGAGAGCCGACAAGGAGCGACTAGTTCCCTAGTATATTCTCGGTAGTCTCGGCTATCATTTGGCGGTTTCATCCCTTTCGTTTTCCCTGGACCCAGCCCATATAAGTCCATTTGCTTCTGGCTTGACGGTATTTATTGACGTAAGTCAGTCTCGCGACCTTTTGTTGCGTACTGCGAGTAACAAATGAACCAAGAGTTATTTGATTATTATCGCACCAAACGATGGACATCAACAAGTGTAAGACTACTTGTCAAAGTTTAGCTCACGGCGACAGTTCTGCCGTCGCGATCGACGACGTTTATGCTGAGGCAGACTTGCACAGCTCCTACCACACCTCCTGCTCCTCTCGCCCCCCCATTCTTGATTTGATGGCGAGACAATGTAAAGACGGACAGACGGAGGTAGACTCCGGTGCGGTAGCTGACAAAGCTTACCAGTCCGTCGCTGTTTTCCACACTCGACCTGAATTCCAAAACATGTCTCAGCTTTTCATTAGGACGGTTCGGATATCCCATCAGAAACGAGCTAATCGTCCTGACAGATTAAAGCGCTCATGTGCCGTTTGGTCGTCCGTTCTCATCCCTCCACCAGTTAACTGTCTGAGCCTGCCTGTCGCGACGTGAAGGTCTGTGTCTGAGGCGTGCCACCCCCCAAAACACACCCAACCAGCTAACAGTGTCCTGTTAACCTGCTTGACTATGTTTCGGTCTAGAGCACCTACGGCGCAGCCCATTTCGAGGGTCAGTTCAGACCACACGACAGTTCGACCATCGATTTCGATGATATCCACCGTGTGCCCCACAGACTGCATTGCGGGAGCAGGGACGGTGACTTACGCAGGGGTTTATAGTGCCAGTAGACTTGCGTAGCATCTACCTACACTCTCTCCTCCTTCCCCGCCTGAGCCCGGTGTCAAGACCAAGTCAAGAAGACCGGAGATGGGGGGAGGCCGCAGGTGAATGGCTCGGACGGATCCTCGCCTTTGCGCTCCACTCCGCACCCCCTGGTCCACACACAAATGGCCAGGATTTTGACCACAAAACAATGGGGTGGTGGTAGTGATCCAGTTGTGCGACGAATGCCGACAACAGGGTCCGCCAGCGCACCCCGGGAATGTTGGCATTTGTTATTGCGCACAGATAACGCCTGCCAGAGTCGGATGTGGGCCCCGTGTTGGTCCAGCGCATCTAACACGTGGCCCGTTTGGAGGGCACAAGTCCAGACCACAACACTTAGGTCATGAGAAGTCGGGCCCGCAGAATTTCGCAGGAAATTTATTAAAGTCCTTAAGGACAAATTGGTGGGAAAAGCGCAGAATGCAAAGCTTCAGTGGACGCTGAAGTGTAATTTACCTCTTGTCATGGGTTAAGAGTTAGCTAAGCCGTGCGTTGATTATCCTGCACTTGGCTGCCTTTTTTCGGCTTCCAGGACACCCTGAGCAAGCTTCTGGCAGACGTTTCGCAGAAGGACTCGGACGCCTCCAGCGATGCCCAACAGCAGGAGGACGAGATTGCGAAGCTGAAGAGGCGACTGGCCTTCTACCGCAATGTCCTCAATTTCAGGGTTGCTCGCCTGAAGGACAATCGCTTCCAGTTCATCTTCTATGGCCTCTCCGAGGACCCCGAGGATGTCTGCTATGTTACCTTTGCCGAGCCCGCGGGCAAGAACGCGGAGATGATGGTGGACTTGGTGCGCTGCAATCCGCCCATCTCAGATATTGAGCGGCTGGTGAACTTTCTTAATCAAACTGGCGACTACCGCAGTTTCCTGATTGTCCTGCGAAAGCGTTTCCAACGCTACTTCCAGCTGCGAAAGGCAGTCTCTGCCAAGCTGAGTGCCGCTGGTGATGCATTGGCTAGTAAACAAGTGTCTTCATCTTAGTAGGCTCATCTGCTTGTCCCCTTGTCCTACCCCCGCCCCGCCCCCGCGTCACTTGTACAGCCGGTCTCTGTGCCGGAGCATTTACCCGTTGCATTTATTTTCGTCATTTGCAATACTTCTTTTTACTGCATATTACTAATGCTGCTTCCCTTACGTTTGCCCGTACTGAGTGTCAGGCTTTTGATGCAACCAACTAGTCAACCATCCTCTTTGAGGTCCTGCATTACTTCCTACTCACTGTACACCCCACCTCCCAGCTGCCTGTTATATTAAAAGGGAACAAATCCCTCAGACTTGTCTCGCTTTGCCGTCAAGAGGGCCAGACGATAGGATACGATGGCCGCGAGGCATAGATATTCTGAGAAATGCTCCCCCATGCATATTCCTTAATCTGACTGTGCTTGGCCGATCCCTAGTTGCATTCGCGTTATTTCGGTCGTCTGACATGTTCTCCCCAAGTGACCGTCGCGACCGATGGCGTCCAGGGTGTGCCGCGTGGAGTTGTCGCAGTACTGGTGACATTATTGGTTAAACTAACGCTAGGTTCCAATCCGGTTGACCCTCAGCAGTTCCACCATTGGTCAGTTTACCCATCAGCAGTAGGGGGCAAGCCTACCAGGAGTTGGAAGGTGTGGCAGACCAGAACGCAGAAAGATGTCGTCAGAAACAGCCCCCCCCCGTGGCTGCGTGTATCTCCCGTCAGTTCATTTTCTACTGTTCGTAGTCTTCGCCGACTGGAATATACTCCGACAGCCGTGAACTCTCTAAGTAGGCCTTCAAGGAGACTGTCACAAAGCGAGTTTGCAATACCAATTACGTTGAAGCACGAATCCAAACTACTCAATGCATGACTACTTGCTTACACCTGTTTTTGGGATCTTTTCAGGCAGTGACAACCTAGACGCTGTCCTTTTTTCATGCATTGCCAATGACGCCATACATACAGTAGCACTGAAATTAATCGCCTTCCCTTCAGAGTGATCCATGTCGCCATGAGGCATGGTACTCAAGGTAGGGAAGTCTTTCACTCGGAAATCAACAAACTCCGCTCTGATGAAGTGTTCACGACCCTTCTACGGGCTATCTGCGATGTTTACGAGCACAGTTCCATGTGCCGTAATCGGCCGAAATAATTATCTGTCGTTGTCCCCCTCTGCTATCTTGCCTCCGCGGATTTCGGTCTGCCGGGTTACTGCCTATTTGTGACCTCTCCCACCCATGCAGAGCTTGTTCGCTTCGGGAAGTCGATGGTTTGGTGTGCACTTGCTCACGTACGAGTGCCAGAATGTATTGCTACATGCGTGGCATGGAAGGCAGTTCACACTTGTACCAGTATCTTCATGAAAGTTCGACCGTCGATTTCGATGATGCCCACCGTGTACTCCACAGCAGGGTGAAAGCATGGGCTGCGACTTGCGTGTGAATTAGTTTATAATGGTGGTAGACTTGCGCAGCATCTACCGCACTCTCTCCTTTCCCACCTGGATCCGGTGTCATGACCAGGCCGAAGAAACCGAAGGGGGGAGAGGTCGCAGATGGTTGGCACGGTGTAGACACGCACCTAGGCGTACCACCACACCCTGGTTCACAACATATACCCGAGCAGGATTTCGTTAGACAAGAACAGTAGGGTGGGGGGCGGCATGGACCCTTAGTGGCGCGACGTGAGCCGGCAACGGGGCCCACCGCTACACCCTAAATATTGGCATGCCTTATAGGTACGCATTCCCGATAACGCCTGCCGGGCTCCGATGTGGCCCCCGTGTTGGTCCAGCGCATCTACCGCGTAGCCCGTTTTAGGGACAACAACTCCCTCCATAGGGATGCAAGAGAAACAAAACAACTTCCCGAGCAGTCCGAAACTACAGGAGCAGGTTTGTTTTTGAATAAGCCTGCAGTACAGCGCTTTATTGGTGTCAAATTATTTGGTGATTCTAAACATTAAATTACAAAATGAAGGATCTTTCGCCTCGTATCTGAGAACTGTAATCTGGCTTACGGTAGCACCCAAGATTACCAGGCGGACGCCAGCACTTTGCGTGCATGAACTCAACTGTAATTCGATCCCATGCTCACCAACATCATTCTGCCAGTAAACGGAAGGCTTCGATACTAGAATGTGCTTAGGGCCGGCGCTCCATGAATAAACGCTACGAACAGTGCGGTGTGCAATGGAGAAGGACTTCGTGGCTGCACAGCTGAAAGACTAGGCTGGGTTGGCGCGTTTCGATATCGTATCACCTTACAGTGTAGCTGAAAGCAATCTGATCTGCTTATATGTTATAGAACGGTGGGAAAGTCACCGTTTCCGCATCGGCAGGCAGCAAGACTTGCGTGGAACAGATCCTAGCGGCAAGAAAGTCGTACAACGTCCAGAGAGATAGAATACACCGTGAGTAACAGCACTGTAGTTCATGAAAAGTACCACAAAAAGGAGCAGACTGAGAGAAGTAATGCTGCGTAAGATATACGCTGGAGGGAGTAGCACAAGGAAGGACAAATGCGTTTGGCTGGGGGCCACATCACATTGACGGATTAGCAGCGCAAGGTGAGCCTTCTCTGATGAAAGAGAACTAATCTGGCTGATATGTACGGTTGGAAGTAGTATTGGCATGACCCGGCATCTACAGAAGATGATCATACCAAGGTGGCAGTGTGATGGCCCGGAGGAGATGAATGTTCAGTCATACATTCAGAAACCCGTTCAATTGCTGTCCTTTGTGAGCCAATACGGTGGCGGCCGTGCGGCGTCACGATACGTGTAGTGCCCGTTCTAGGGAAGTAATTTCTTAAATAACCACTGCTGCTACTGAGCCTGTGAATGTAAGGTCCGAACAATCGGAACTAGGCATTCCTCGCTGCTAACATCGACTGGTCTTACCATAAAACAACAAAAACTACTGAAAAACGTGAGATATAGGTTTTCTGGGTGGGGTGGCCGGTCGGGACATAGTCTCGCTGATACAAGAAAGTAGAACAGAGTCAGATAGTCAAGTGCGCTGACCGGCGAATTAAACGGAGTACACTTTAACTTGCTCGTACTTGGTACGGCTGCGATCATGTCTGATCTAGCCGGCCTCGATGATGTCACGGACTGTACATCTCCACGCGTGAGGATCCGCAGCAGCAGCGGATCAGGACAACTCAACCCAGATACCAAAGGTCCGAGAACCACTTTCATGTCGTGACGAACCGTGTCGAGTTGTCCCCTCCCCCTCTTCGACGCTCCCAAGTTGGTAACGGTGCCGGATAGAGGGCAGCAACACTCAGCTTGTGAGGTGGACGAAGAAGAACGTGCTCAAACCATCGCAGTCATCCACCTCGAACGCCCTGAGACAGCTTTGCGGTGCTGTCGCCGACAGCTTTAGGTGAGGCCGCAATGCCTGATGAGACCACTGGGACATGGCAACGGAGAACGGCCATTAACTAAGTCTGCCTGTCACTGGTTCCTTCTGGTTAGGCTCTCCAAACCAAGGCGCTGGAGGAGACAGCCTCGAACAAATAATTCGAACGGCCGTTTGGGTTCCGCCTGTACTCATAACTCCCCAGAAGCCTCAAGAAATGTTAACCAAAATTCTGAAATGGGTTTTCGTTCCGAAAAAAACTACTTCAGTAGGGTTTTAGAATAAATAATCGTACAATATATCTCTATAATGATTCAGTTACCTCATGATGCCAGCTTTTGAACGAACTTCTTTCCGGACTCATATAAAAACTGCACCGCGAAAATGGCTACTTAAGTAGCATTCTTTTTTCTCATCGACTTTCGATGCCCTTAACAATCTAATTATATTTCATAGAAAACATGCGCAAAACACTCATTCACCTGCTCATCCGGTATAGGGTTACGTCTTCTTTCAATTGTGCGCTCATTCGGTTTTAAAAGTTTCCGACTGTGAAGGAGGCAGTCTCAAACAAATAATCTGAGCGGCTGTTCGGGTTCCGCCCGTACTCATAATTTCCCAGATGCCTCATGAAAATACAGTAAGTGTGCTAACTCATGAAATGTCAACCGAAATTCTGAACTGGGATTTCATTTCTAAAAGATTAATTAAGTAGGCTTGTAATATGAATCACCTTGCAGCATAATCCAATAATATTTCAGTTACTTCGGAATGCAAGCTTTTGAGCGAACCCCTTTCCGGCCGCATGCAAAAACCAGACCCTGTAAAAATGACTACGTTTTTCTCATTGATTTTCAATGCCCTCGAAAATTCAATTATATTTCATGGAAAACGTGCATAAAGATATTCACTCATTTGGTCATCCGGTAGTAGATTACGTCTTCTTTAAATTCTATGATCGAAGGAAGGGTAGAATTCGGGTTTCAAAAACTTTTCCAACTCCCGAATAATGTTGAACCCGACCCGCCGTTCCACTTGCTTTCGTGGTTTCCAAACTACCAGCTGCATATTTCCAGTGTAAGAGAAGTTATGTATTCCTCTACGGTATTAAGAGGAGACTATATGGGCTTTATAAAATTTAGCAGTGGATTTGAACCATAGTATTAACTTTGCAAACCACTATGGTAAATGCATAGACATGACGTTTTATGAACGGCCATTTCACAGTATTAAAAAAATCTCACAATTAGAACCTGTTTCAAGACCGAATTATACCCATCCTTCGGGCATAACACTGGAAGACGCAATTTTCTACCGAATGAACAAAAGAATGAATATCTTTATGCATGCTTTCTATGAAATATGCTTGAATTTTTAATGGCATCGAAAATCAATGAGTAAAACGCATGCTACTTAAGCAGCCACTTTTTATAGTCTGGCTTTTTTATGCAGCCTGAAAGAAGTTCGTTCAAAAGTTGGCATTCTGAAGCAACTGAAATATTACTGGATTATGCTGCAAGGTGATTAACATTACAACCCTACTTAATTAATCTTTTCAAGACGAAAACGCATTTCAGCATTTCGGTCAACATTTCATGAGTCAGCACATCTACTGTATGTTCGAATGTAGTATTACGAGGACACTCTAAGGAGGATGATTGACAGAGCGGCTTCTCCTACGGATGACTGGGTCTACCCGCCTCACCTCGTCACACATACTTATTTCAGCAGACGTGTACACACGGAGAAAGAAACAATATCAACCACCAAACTGCTAATAATGTGGCAAAAGGTGATAACACAGAAAATCACATATGAAAAAATAGAGAGAAAATGAAAAAGAAAAGTGGAAAGGCACAAGAGGGCTGAAAATGCGAAGGCATATGCTAGTGGGGTACCATCACTCCGGTGAATGGATCATAAACTGCAGTAAAGATACCAGTATGGGTGGGAGGGGGCGACATTGATCACCCGAAAGACAGTAACTGACGCGAAAGCAGGACGGGGGGGGGGGGAGGAGGACAGCGGGAAGTGAGAAGACGTAACAGCCGGATTACCGGCAGACAGGGCTCAGACTAATCCCACTTTCGCCCACCACTAGCCAAGGGGATCCACCTCAGGAGGCGGCCGGTGCGCCCCGGCGTCCAATCGCAATTCCAAACGCCCGCCGGAAACAGGGGATGCTGTGGGCGGCAACAGCAGCTGCGGTCCAGGGCCAAGGGGAGTGCGGGCCACTGAGGTGGCGTCGGAGGTCAGCATACGACGGGCCTCGTCTGCGGACAGCGCCAGCAACGGCCTTGGGCCCCTCGAAGCGGAGGCATCCGGACTGGCTGGTGCAGAGCTGCTGTTGCTGCCGCCGCTGCCACCGCCGCCGTGGAAAAGGCGTTTAAGATTGCTGGAGAGTCTCGCTGATACAAGAAAGTAGAACAGAGTCAGATAGTCAAGTGCGCTGACCGGCGAATTAAACGGAGTACACTTTAACTTGCTCGTACTTGGTACGGCTGCGATCATGTCTGATCTAGCCGGCCTCGATGATGTCACGGACTGTACATCTCCACGCGTGAGGATCCGCAGCAGCAGCGGATCAGGACAACTCAACCCAGATACCAAAGGTCCGAGAACCACTTTCATGTCGTGACGAACCGTGTCGAGTTGCCCCCTCCCCCTCTTCGACGCTCCCAAGTTGGTAACGGTGCCGGATAGAGGGCAGCAACACTCAGCTTGTGAGGTGAACGAAGAAGAACGTGCTCAAACCATCGCAGTCATCCACCTCGAACGCCCTGAGATAGCTTTGCGGTGTTGTCGCCGACAGTTTTAGGAGGCCGCAATGCCTGATGAGACCACTGCGACATGGCAACGGAGAACGGCCATTAACTAGGTCTGCCTGTCACTGGTTCCTTCTGGTTAGGCTCTCCAAACCAAGGCGCTGGAGGAGACAGCCTCGAACAAATAATCCGAACGGCCGTTTGGGTTCCGCCTGTACTCATTATTCCCCAGAAGCCTCAAGAAAATGCAGTGTGCTGACTCATGAAATGTTAACCAAAATTCTGAAATGGGTTCCGAAAAAAACTACTTCAGTAGGGTTTTCGAATAAATCATCGTACAATATATCTCTATAATGATTCAGTTACCTCATGATGCCAACTTTTGAACGAACTTCTTTCCGGACTCATATAAAAACTGCACCGCGAAAATGGCTATATAAGTAGCATTCTTTTTTCTCATCGACTTTCGATGCCCTGAACAATCTAATTATATTTAATAGAAAACATGCGCAAAACACTCATTCACCTGCTCATTCGGTATTAGGTTACGTCTTCTTTCAATTGCGTGCTCATTCGGTTTTAAAAGTTTCCGACTGTGAAGGAGGCAGTCTCAAACAAATAATCTGAGCGGCTGTTCGGGTCCCGCCCGTACTCATCATTTCCCAGAAGCCTCATGAAAATACAGTAAGTGTGCTAACTCATGAAATGTTAACCGAAATTCTGAAATGGGATTTCGTTTCGAAAAGATTGATTAAGTAGGCTTGTAATATGAATCACCTTGCAGCATAATCCAATAATATTTCAGTTACTTCGGAATGCTAACTTTTGAACGAACCCCTTTCTTCCGGCTGTATGCAAAAACCAGACTTCGTAAAAATGACTATATTTTTCTCACTGATTTTCGATGCCCTTGAAAATTCAATTATATCTCATGGAAAACATGCATAAAAATAATCAGTCATTCGCTCATTTGGTAAAAAAAAGTTAAATTTTCTTCCAGTTTTATGCTCGAAGGAAGGGTATAATTCGGTCTTCAAAAACTTTTCCAACTCCCAAACAATTTTGAACCCGACCTGCCGTTCCACTTGCATTCAGGTTGTCTAAACTACAAGCCGTATATTTCCAGTGTAAGGAAAATCACGTATTTCTCTACGGTATTAAGAGCAGACTATACGGGGCTTATGAAATTTAGCAATGGATTTGAACCATTTTGTTAACTTTACAAGCCAAATTGGTAAATACAGAAACATGACGTTTTATGAACAGCCATTTCAGTATTAAAAAATCTCACAATTAGAAACTGTTTAAAAACCGAGTTATACCCTTCCTTCAGGTATAAAATCAAAAGAAGACGTGATTTTCTACCGAATAAGTAAAAGAATGAATATTTTTATGCATGTTTTCCATGAAATATGATTGAATTAACACATGATTGATTAACGCATGAAATTCTGTATTCATCTGTACAGTTTTTGTTATTCCCCTTGTATTTCTTTCATATTACTTCCTTTCCTTTTTCTCCATATATTTCCTCTGCATGTAACCAACAGGAATTTCAAAGGTACACACTTACTTTACCTAAGATACACTGATACTGAATTTTTAATGGCATCGAAAATCAATGAGAAAAATGCATGCTACTTAAGTAGTCATTTTTTACAGTCTGGCTTTTTTATGCAGCCCAAACGAAGTTCGTACAAAAGCTGGCATTCCGAAGCAACTGAAATATTATTGGATTAGGCTGCAAGGTGATCAACATTACAACCCTACTTAAATAATCTTTTCGAGACGAAAACGCATTTCAGAATTTCGGTTAACATTTCATGAGTTAGCACACCTACTGTATGTTAGAATGTAGTATTACGAGGACACTCTAAGGAGGATGATTGACAGAGCGGCTTCTCCCACGGATGACTGGGCCTACCTGCCTCACCTCGCCACACATACTCATTTCAGCAGACGTGTACACACGGAGAAAGAAACAATATCAACCACCAAACTGCTAATAATGTGGCAAAAGGTGATAACACAGAAAATCACATATGAAAAAATAGAGAGAAAATGAAAAAGAAAAGTGGAAAGGCACAAGAGGGCTGAAGATGCGAAGGCATATGCTAGTGGGGTACCATCACTACGGTGAAGGGATCATGAACTGCAGAAGAGATACCAGTATGGGTGGGAGGGGGCGACATCGATCACCCGAAAGACAGTAACTGACGCGAAAGCAGGGGGAGGGGGAGGGCAGAAAGTGAGAAGCCGTAACAGCCAGATTACCGGCAGGCAGGGTTCAGACTACTCTCACTTTCGTCCACCACTAGCCAAGGGGATCCACCTCAGGAGGCGGCCGGTGCGCCCCGGAGTCCAATCGCAATTCCAGACGCCCGCCGGAAACAGGAGATGCTGTGGGCGGCAGCAGCAGTTGCGGTCCAAGGGGAGTGGGGGCCAGTGAGGTGGCGTCGGAGGTCAGCATACGACGCGCCTCGTCTGCGGACTGCGCCAGCAACGGCCTTGAGCCCCTCGAAGCGGAGGCATCCGGACTGGCTGGTGCAGAGCTGCCGTTGCTGCTGCCGCCGCCGCCGCCGCCGCTGCCGTGGAAAAGGCGTTTAAGGTTGCTGGAGAGAGTCCTGGCTCCGGAGACGAGGGCTTCGCGAACACGCTGAGTGGTGGCGTCGGGCTGCCAAATACAGATTTCGAAAGGTGACTACCGAGTGAAATAGCAGAAGCGCGCAATATGTGCGTGTGAGGGGACTCACGCAATTTCCTTGCTTTTTATGCTAACGCGGCATTAGCCATATTGATGCGCAATGTGCCAAAATCGTAGGCGTCATGGGGGGAGATTTTGTTTAAGCGACCCATTCTCAAACAACAGGGGGGGGGTGGGGAGAGGTGGATGCGATTTAACAGATTTTAAAAAGTGTAAAAGAAGATTAAGGCAGGAATTTCAGTCTCTAGCCTGCGCATAGAGGGACACTACATGATGGCGAATGAAGAGGGTGACTGAGAGCTCGACTGGTCGACGTGGTTCCAGTAGGAGAGCGGGTAGAATACTAGCTGACAGCACAATAAGTCTTCAAGTAATAGGTATCATGACAGACTTAAAATAATTCATTTCGATCCAACTGCGAAAAACCCGGCGTCACGGTGGGATTCGAACCCACGACAGTAAGGTGGAGGCTTTAGTACAGCCAACGCTCTAACCACATGAGCTACGAGGCTCCACCGGACGACGGGAGTTCAATCACATTTCGGTCTAGTTTACCCATCCAACCTACTGCAACGTCTGGGATCCACCAAATTCACTAGAGCGTTGGCTGTACTAATACCTCCCCTTGGTGTCGTGGGTTCGAATCCCACTGAGGCGCGGAGTTTTTCACAATGTGGTCACAGTGTTGAGAAACGGAATGAGGAGTGGGACATGCGACTAACTGAAAGTCAGGAAAAAGACGGCCCG